CGGGCCCCCTCCCCCGGGGGCGTGCTGGGCCCAGCCACTACAGCTCTGCAGGGCTTGCTGCAGTCAGAGCTGCTCCCAGGGGTGGCGGGTGCCCTAGTCTTCGGGGATCGGGGTGTTGCAGTTCCCGTGGTAAATCTTGACCTCACCCTCGCACTGGAAGTACTGGTCGAACACGTCACTGTATCCATGGTCCCTCCACCACGTGCAAAGCTGCCGGTTCCACGTGCAGTCAAGCACGTGGAAGAGCTCTGGGTGCTCCATCCCAACCATGGTAAAGAAATCCTGGTCCCCGAGGTGGCCCTTGAAGTGGTACTTCTCCGTCAGCTTCTGCACCATGGCAGGCTCCAGCAGCTGGTTGTAGAGCTTGGACTGCCTCATGGCTTCCAGGTTCAGGAGCAGGACGCCGCTGTTGAAGCCGGGCAGCCCATCAGGAGGGGGGTCCCCCACTTTGGTTTGGGGGTTCTCACGGCGATACTGCCAGAACGTGTGCCTGCAAAGAGAGGAAAAACAGGAACAGGAGAGTCAGGGAGCACAGCCCATAGAGCAGCCACCTCAAGTCTGGGTAGGTCTGGATCACAGCACAGGACCCACCACCCACCCAAGGGATCTCGCAGTGCTTGTCTTCTGCTGGCTGGAGGCACCCAGCCTCCCAGAGCAGCCCAGTGCTTCATGGGCCACGTCTCTCTCCATACCCCTGCACAGGATATTGCACAGACTTCAAAACACTCTTCACTCGCTCCTGAAGACCCTTTTTTCTCTACCAGCATCGCTGTGGTGAGCCAACAGGACAGAGGATGGTGTGACTGCTCATACAGCTGCACGGGGAGATGAAACCACATCCCCAGTGCCTAGGGCGAACCACCAGAAGTGCCCCCACAGCTGGCACACGCCAGGAAAATGTTAATGGGATCTCAGCAGCAGAGCTCACAGCAACATTATTATTATTATTTGATTATGGGGAAGCTCCGGATCAAAGATGGGCCCCAGTTTGAGGCTGTGCAAAAAGAAGGCTTGAAATAAATCCAAGTGGAAGAAATATTTCTTCAAAATAAAAATAAAAATAGAAATCCAATGGCAACATCTCGTTAGCTAAATAAGCACTGCCTTCATCATTTGCAGCCCTAGGAAGGCTCAGCTGTAGCAGCTCTGGCAGATGTGATCTTCACTAGCTAATTTCTAGCTGCCAAGGAGAAAAGAGCAGTGCACGTCTAGCCATACACCAACTCCAGAGGGTGAGTCAAATGGGAAAAATTTAGACTACCTAAGCAAGCAGCCCAAAAATGTCTTTGGCTCCTTCCTCAGCCCTGGGGTGGTGAGCACACCCCGCCATACACACACCTGCTGCTCCCACTTAAAGGAACTGAATTCATCCCATGCTATTACCCAAGCAGCTGGGGTTGAATGCGCCCAAAAAAAAGGCTCTCATTCAGACTGAAAGTCTTCTGCCCCCAAGCAGCATCCTCTGCTACAAAGCCAGGGAGCTGAGAACTGGCCAGACCTGTGGTTCAGAGGAGGGCAGGAGGGACCCGTGGCCCTCACCCCTCCGTCTGACAGCCCAGGGGTGCCAGCACTGTGCTCTCCTGCCCTAACACCTAAGGCAAAGCTACAGCAGGTTTTTTTTTTTGCATCTTGCTGTGAAGATGTCAGGGAGAAACACCGTTAGAAAGAATAAGCCAAGCCTGCTGCTGGCGCCTCTCCAAATCTGGCAGACACTAACCAAAGTCTCCGTGCACCTCCAGGAAGCAAGAATTTGTTAGTAGATGGTGTGGATTTAGCACCCAGAGGTTTAAAGTGGTCCCATTCTTGGAAGCTGAAGCTGGGCTAGTTCAGACACAAGACGATGCAAAGACATTAGCCCTGGGGACAGCTCCAGAGTCACGGTGCAAACATTTAAATTGAAATTTTTCTTGCAAGACCAACAAGCTCCTACGGCTTGTAGAGATTAGACTATTAAATCCACCCTTCTGGCCTGTCCTCTGGATCTCCTGGATCCTGAGAGGAGACAGGACAGCATGGAACTGCAAGGAGCCTTGCCCAGGTGAGAGCAGCCAAGGCAGGAGCTGAGATTCAGCAGCCTCCACAGAAAATTCCACATTCCCAGCAGAAAATGTGGATCTATTAATAATGTCAACCATGAGCACCTTTTTTATTTCTGGATCTGGAGAACCACGACCATCACGCAGCATCACTTCCTTGCAGCATCACTTCCTTACATTTAGATGCTTCAGATTCGAACCTCTGAAATGTCTCATTTCATTAAGGGTCCTTACACTGCTCCCTTTCGCCTGATTCAGGACAGAAAGGGTTTTTCCAAGCACCAGTTTCCCATGGAAGGAAGGCTCAGTTTTTGAGCAGGCATCTGCATGCCTCCCGGGGAAGGCAAGTGGAGGACGGGCTGCCTCATCGAGCCCGTGGGCAGCATTGCTCGTTTGATCTAAAGGGCAGGGAAGAGATAAAAGGGCTCTGCCAGCACAAAGAGCAGTTATGTCTTGGGGACAGGCACCAGGCCACTGCAAAGAACTCGTGGACGCTCATGAGAAAAGGAGAGCAAAGCTCTCCCCATGCAGCTTTAGAGGGAAGCTCAACCTGCAAAGACAAGACCCAGCCTTGCACCGATCAGCCTCCTGAGGTGCTCAGGTCCAGGGGTCTGAGCAGAGACAGGCTCAGGCCCCACCTCTGCATACTCTGGTCTCTGCTTCTCTCTAACAGTGCCAGGAAAGCCACCCCTGTACCCAAAAAGTGATGCTGGATGCTGGCAGGAGGGAGAGGGGGGAGCAGCACTGCAGAAGGAGGCACCTTTCCAGCTCCACAGGAGCTGAATCCTTTCACGTTCTTACCTCCAAGAACACGCTGCCCAAGCTAAGGGATGAGATTACAGCCCCTGCAAGCAGCTAGAATAGGAAAAATGTAAGTGCCCAAGCCCTTGGCATCGCCAGGCCATGGTGGGGTGAAAGCGGATCTGTATCAAATGATTCCAGTTTTCAGCAATGTCGTTCCCCAGCGGATTACTCAGAGACAGCTGATAACGAGAAGGGAGCAATGTGCCCTTTTCTGCAGGGAAAGGAGACAGACCGACACGCAGCAATTGTTCAGCCCTTCCTCCTGGCGCTGGCGTGACGGGGCCATCCTCCCCCAGCCGCGCGGGGACCTCAGGGGAGCGGGGCTGGGGGGAGGACAGGGCCGTCCCCGGGGAGGGGTGCTGGGGCGAGATCCAGGATGTGACGAGCTGCGGGCAGCTCCGCAGCACCAACAGCTCGGGAACCTGCTTGCTGCACTGCACTGCAGCCTTTCCAGCGCTGGGCTTGGGCCAACCGAGGGAGAGGTATTCTGGCAGGGCCGCTGGCAGCATCTGTTTAGCCTGGATTTCGCTTGGCTTTTATCCTTCTAGCAGAGGGTTTTGGCGCTGTCCTGCAGGGGCCAGGATGGAGGAGAGCATGGTTGAGAGGCACCTCCACCCAGCTGGAAGTGGAAGGAGGGGTGGGTTTGAGAGCATCATTTTCTTTGGAGGAGATGGAGCTGGGGAAGCACAGCAACCAGCCAAACAGTTAACCCAGCCAGTGCCCCGTGCTGCTCTGTCCTGCCCAGCATTGCCCCTTAGCACCCACCTCAAATTTTGGCAAAACATGGGGGGGGGAAAATCCCAGGGGCTTGATGAGCGTGCTGCCAGGAGGCAGGGAGGGGGTGCTGGGAGTGCATCATCCCCCCACTCCCTCCCCAGACAACCATTCAGGAACCAAACCCCAACTGGATGCAATGGAAACACCTCCCTCCCCCAAGCCCCTGGAGCAGTCGGGATCTCCCTGGGGACAGGCGGTTCAGGCAGGGCAGCAGTGCTGCCAGCCCTGGCTCCGGGGTGCCCTCCTCCCCGCATGCCCGCCAGCAAAGGCCAGGGCAGGAAGGCAGCTTGGAGATGCCGGCCACCGCTGGGATGCAACGGGGCAGGAAGCTGCTGGCCGGGAGGAGGGGAGAAGAAAGGAAGAGGCATTTCAGGCTTTTGTTAACGGCCCTGGCCCCTCTAGGCGGGAGGGGAAAGAGGTGACCCCGGGCCCCTGACCCCATAGCATGGTGTGGGGGAGCCATGTGGGGCCACTGCCACGAGCGCCGGCCGGCAGCCCCGACGGGCTTTGCTTTGAGGAGCTGTTTATAAACAGAGCCGGCATGTGCTAGGAAACATCTGGAGAAGAGCATTTCCAAGCATTCAAACAGCAGGCCCAGGCAGCCCAGATAAAAAAACCCTGCTTCCACCAGGACTTCCCTTGCTGGCCCAGCGCAGGGCGCTCCAGCCGCACCTCCCCTGCCTCGCAGGCCGGTGGTCACCAGCGCCGGCTTGCAGAGCTGCCATCGCATGCTTTAAAATGCCTCGGTGGGAATAGCTGCCGGGGCAGAAGGGACCGCTCCACTTACCAGCTGTATTTTTCAGGTCCTTCTCTTGCTTTCGTGCACAGCAAGGGGCAAACGCTGGGCGGGGGGAAGACTTTGTACAAACCCACCAACTTCCACTCATTTACTTCAGCTCTGGGTTATGGGACAACCTCATGGGATGAGCTGGAAACTGCTGGTGAAGCAGCAGGGTGCCCTTGCTGGCAGGAAAGGCAGGGTGGCAGAGTTACTGCCAGCTGGGTGACCCACAGCAAGCCCGAAGCACCGGCCCCACAGACTGCAGACTGGGCTTGTCTGCCTGTGCCCACCTGAGACGTTCAAGAGGCTGCAACCCTGCCACACCAGCTGCGCAGTTGCCGCCAGCCTTGCTGATGAGAACATGGGTCCTCCCCATGCGGCTGCAGCTGCAGAAATGCAGACAGCCTGCGGGATAACCCCCCCCGCAGCTGGGGAACCAAGGAGCCAGGTCAAAAAGACATGAAATGAAACCAGACGCCTGACAGCAGCTTCTGTCCCATCTGGAGGAGAGGGAAGAGTGATGGCATGGGGATGACGGTGTCATCCATCCAGGAGATGACAGTGGCTTTCCCCCCTAATCCTCAGCAAGAAGCACAGCTAAGAAACCTCCCTGCACCCTTCTCCTTCTCTTGGCTAAACCAAGGCAGACACTTGCCAGCCCCTTACCACAACTTTGTTCAACTAAGATTAACCCTCAGAAAAAGGCCGTCTCCCCTTCCTCCAGACAGCCCCCCACAAAGGCATTGCTGCAGAGAGGATGGGCCCTTCCAAATTTCTGCCCAGACAGAGGGAGGCAGCCGCCACAGTGCTGCACCCAGAGCAGCATCTGATCCATGCTCGCCCTTCCCACCCCGGCACTGCCAGACCTCGGCCGGGCAAGCACAGCCCTCCCTGCAAAGGGAGCCTTTGCAACAAAGCAGCCCTTGTTGCTAATTGCTTATTTCCCATGTGCAAACACCAAACCCCTTAAGGAGCTGGGGCGGCAGGTTCAGTACCAGCCCGTCCCAGGGCGCCTTAGCTGAGGCTGAGCAGCTCTCATCACCCAGGAAATCCCAGCTCCGCGCTTCGCAGGAGCACCATGCACCCAGCGAT